GCGAACTCCCGGTCCGCAAGCCATCGGATCTCTGCACGCTCTTTCGGTAACTCAGAAGCAAACCGCGGCGGGGTGGATCATGCACGATAATCGAGCTGGTGAACCGTTCGCTTTCGCTGATCACTTTCTGACGATCCCGAGAGTGCACCTTAACCGAATGCAATCGCGGCTATTTTAATCATTCCAAAAAAGAGTAAGAACGCTTTTTAAATTTGAACACGATCTTCCCAATATGGAACTCTTTAAAATGTTATAAATTAAAAGCGTAACTTAAATCGCACGGCAAAAGTAGAATTTTCCTCTTTGCAAATATTAATTTGTAAATTTTAAATATATCCGTTGTTATCATGTATATTAAATATTCTGTATCTGTGTAATAATAATTCAATATCATTTATGAATATCTGACAGTTATGTGATAAATTATTAAGTAATATAAAAATTCGATTTATTAAACGATATAAATTTCTTTCTAATAAGTTGATTGAATTGATTCAATCAATAAAACTCTCAATGTTTTCTACCGAATATTATCAAATAATGATCGATATAAATATAATAAGCAAAACAATATCTTTCTTGTACGCGTCGGATGATAAGATGTATATTTCAAGACAAATTTGGAGCATAGAAATTTAACTTTATTAGGAGGCTCGTATCACCGAGATCAGCAAAAGTAGCTTATCTAGGATAAGCCGAGGAGACGCTCGAGATGTGAAGTTCACGAAATGCTCAGGCTGAATTGCGAAATTGCGGGACAGATTATTGGCTTGCGAAGTTGGGTGAGACTGGAGGCCGAGGGTGGGCCGAGGTAGGCAAAGAACTTTTGGCTCGGTGCGTTGTTGCCGGACAAACTCTACTCGTAGGTGCAGCCAACATTAGCCTAACTCCGTGGCAAACTAATCTAACATTCGTCCGAGCTTCCTCGCTCCAGCCGCCTTCCAAGCAAACGAGCGAACGAGCCATTTTGCCCAGCTTTTTCTCTCTCTCAAAAAACTCACTGCTACATACTAAACTTTTCGAGTTTCGCTTCTCTTCTGTTTCAAAAAATACCCTTTCTTTCTCGGAATTTTTGTATTCTTTTCATTGTATTCTTTTCACTCGAATAATCTTCAGATAACATTTTCTTTTTATTTTCATAAATAATTAATTCTTTCTTTTATAGATAAATAATCAATACAAATTTTTCATCAATACAATTTTTCTTGTACAATAAATATTTTATAATAATCATTATAATAAAGAACACATAAATTTTTTTAAAATGTTATCTGAAGAAAATTGTGTAAAATTGTAGAACATTATTACCAATTTTACTTCTATGCATATAAGTATTAGTAAAGGATATTGTAGGCTGAATTCCATCGTAGCTGATGTCGCCGGAATTGCAGTCGCTAGCTCGATCGTTGCTGTCCATCCTAAGGTGTCCGTAGTCCGGACTACCGTGCTGGGCTGCCGCCAGCAAGGCTGGATGCAACATAGCCGGCGGATGGGGCAGTGGAGGGGAATCCCTGAGTTCTACACCTCCACCCGGAGGACTCGCGGGTAAATGATGTGGCCCCGGAGGTGGTACTTGACCAGGATGACTCGCGTGAGGATTGAAAAACGGTGAATAGGGCGAGAACACTTGACTCTCGTGGAGACTTGGATTTGGTATCGCTACGCTGGTTGGCAGGGACACCGGCAGCATCGGTGGTGGCGCGTGGTAGGGTCTCGGTGGTGGAGGAGGCGGGGGACTATCACTACCTCCTTGAGAACCGTTTCCCTCTTGCGCTAGGATTCTGGACACCGTTCTGGGAGTAATTCTCGTATCCGTCACCTGTAAAGCGTACTAATTAGTATTTTTTTTTTAGTTTTTCAGACTTATTAATTTTCTATTATTAAAATAATTTCATTTTACTTATAACTTATTTATAAAAGCGCATTATACGAAAATAATAATAAAAATCGAGAAATTTTTCTCAAATTCTTTTTGCTATAATGTTATTAATTTTATTTTACATAAGAATAAAAAATTATATAAATTATGTATATATTTATTTATAAAGAATATATTTATATATTTATATATACATGTGTATGTATATATATATATATATATTTATATATTTATATAATATCTAAGTATATTTCCTATTAACTGATATCGATATATATTAAATGTGACAAGTTACAATGCTTACCTTATGACGTTTTTTCTTCGGCGTCATGACAAGTGACAGGGCCTCATTTTGTTCCGAGTCCCTGTTTTCTCTCTCGTCACCTCTCATATTGCAATATTGGTCGCGTTGTTGCTCTCTTTGTTGCTGCTCGCGTTGCTGCTGATGTTGCTGTTGGTGTTGCTGTTGTTGCTGCGCCTGCATGGAGGCCATGGCGTATATCGTCGGCGGTTTTGGAGTCTGAAACATTCCAACGCTCGGCCTTCCGTGCGAGGGCAGCTGATTCATTTGGTTAAGATTGTTTTCCGTAGGGCCAGCATGAGGGCCATGGGGCACACCACCTATGGACCCGATTTGCGAAAACCCCGTGGGTTGTGGAGGAGGGGGCCCACCGTTGAGGGGCCCCCGTGGCCCGTTTGGGCCACCGGGTGGTTGCGGAGCTCCTCTGTCGACTACTTTCGTTCTGGGCGATTTTCTCTCGAGCATTTGGCTCGCCAAAAGAAGGTCTTTATTTAACTGCTCAGCCGCAGCCTGCGCTGCCTCGGTTTGCTTACCGAGAAACCTCCTCTGTTGTACAAACCTCGCTACTATACTGTCAATCAGATTGGTTAAAGAAGAAGTTATTTCTGTCTTCAAGATATCCGCTAAACCTTCCAAATCGGCTCCGGTGATATGAGGGCCGGACGAGCTGGCTGCTGCAGCGGCACCCCTGAAGACGTTTAACCTTTCTTGAAAATCTTTATGTTGGATGGGTGTACTGGCTGATTGCATTTGCGGCGTCTGCGGCGTCGAAGGTCCAGTGTTGTTCTGGCTTTGTTGCTGAGGTTGACTTGGTGGCGGTGGCGAACTTTGTCGTTGATGCTGTTGTTGTTGCTGCTGCTGCTGCTGCTGCTGTTGCTGCTGCTGCTGCTGCTGTTGCTGCTGCTGCTGCTGCTGCTGCTGTTGCTGCTGCTGCTGCTGCTGCTGCTGCCGTACGGCTGCTTCTTGATGTTGCTTCATTCTCTCGAGGGCAGCATGCTGTTGCTCAAAGTAAAGTTTATGCCCCATGTGATACATAGCGGCAGCCGCTGCGTGGGGGTGATCAGGTGGGAGGGCCGGGAGGCCGTTGTACGGTGGTGGATGAGGTCGTGGCGGTCTTGGTGGTGGTTGCGGTTGATGCTGAGGACTCAGTGGCGCGTCGCCGCTCTCGCTTGTATCTGGCTCCATTCTACTGGAAAGTTCCATATATTTTTGTTGCATTTCTGCCAATTGTTCGTGAAGCATCTTCAGTTGTATTTTCAAATTATCTTTCTCCTCCCGTTTCTGCCTAATCGCCGCCGGATCTTCCTCTTCTTCACTTTCGTCTTCGTCGTCCATCATGGTATCGTTAACACTATGTTGGAGAACGTGATGAACTGTCTGTTGCTGAGGTTGATAGAGCTTGCGCTTCTTGCAACCATTTACCGTTGCCGGCTGAAGCGCCGGGCTACTGCGCATGGTGCTGACGATGTTCTCCACGCGGGCACGTTTAATCTCCGTCGTGGGAGAGCTCGTCTCGGTTTTTGGCACGATCGGGCAAGGAGAGTGACTGGGGCTACGTTTGATATTCAGCGACTCTTGTATCTCTTCCTTGACGGAGACCGAGCCCGATCTTGGTGCCGTTGGGCTAGGAGGTAGGCTCTGCTCACAATCCGATCCATCCAAGTTCGCCCCTGGTTCCATACCGGCCTCGGCAAAGGCCTCCTCCATCGCGCGTGCCGCGGAAGCAGCATCTTCAGCGCTGTCCTCAGCATCGCCTGGCATCACGGTATCACGATCACTGTGATTCGCGCTATTCACGACGTTATTACCATCACCACTTTCCTCCCCGCCACTCTGCACTGTTCCACTGCGCGCACTATCACTATTCGGCTGTTGATGCTGTTGGGGACTCTGCTGATGCTGTGAATTTTTAAGTAGTTCCGCGGTAGTATTATTATTGTTGTTATTATGTATACTGTTGTTATTGTTCGGCTGCTCCTGCACGCCGAGAGCGGAGAGTTTGCGCCCCTGCAGAAGCATGTCGCGTAGCATGTGCTGCGTGAGGTCGGCCGTGGCGGGATCATCGCAATTAACCACGGCACCTGGTTGCAAATTCGAGGCGGGATCCATGCCAGCACCGGTCATCCCGTGACCGCCCTCTGGCGGTGATCCGCCAGCGTCACTGGCTTGTTTGACCTGCCTTCCTAACAACTCGTTCAGCATCTTGGCGGGGCCGAAGCCCGGAGCCCCGAAGAAGCCGAAGGCCGTGTGGGCGGAATGCTGCTGGGTTGTAGGACCCGTCGTAGCTGTACCTAAATGACTTTGACTGCCAGTTGCTCCAGCCTGTTGCTGGAGCTGTTGTTGCTGTTGTTGCGATTGTGACTGATGATGTTGCGATTGCTGTTGTTGTTGTGGCTGCTGCTGTTGCTGTTGATGCGACGGTGGCCCACTACCACTAAAGATCGAGCCGTATAGACCACCACCGAGAAAGGATGGCCGGGAGCTAAAGTTCGGTATACTCGAGTAGCTGTTGCGCGGCTCGCCGGCGTCCACGCGCTGTCTGGTGCGCTTCTGCTTCTTCAAGAGTTGCTGTTGCTTGCTTTCCGTGGCTGCTCCGTAGAGGGCGAAACACTCGGTCTCCTCCTCCGATGACATCATCGGCCGTCTGGTTGGTCGGCCCCCCGAAGGCCTCCGCGTCCCCTCCCCGCCAGGGCTTCTTGTCACCCTCCCCTTCTCGCTCGAATAGCCCCTCGTGGCTCAGCGCGCTGCCTCGGCTTCTGCACTGTGTATGTAGTCTCTCTCCGGTATCCCTACTACAGCTGCCTTTTCTCCGCGTTCCTTCTAGCTAGGTGCTCCCCACCTTGTTTGCCACCGACCACCACCGACCCTCTCCACTTCCTTTACCTTCGCCGTCTCCTTCTCGATCTTCTTCTCCTCCTCCTCTTCCTTTTCCGTCTCCTTCGCCGCCACCGCCTTCTCCTCCTCCTCTTCCGCCGCCTCCTCTGCTTTCTCCGCCGCCGCCGCCGCCGCCGCCGCCGCCGCCAACGACGACGCCGGCACTCTTCTTTTTCACGACGAACCTCTGTTTCCTCCTCTTCTTCTTCTTCTCCTTCTCTTGCGCCTCCTCTTCTTCTTCTTCCGTCGTTTCTCGCTTTTTCTGTGCCTTCTTTTCACTATTCCTCGCCCCGCACCTTCCGCCGTAGAGCTGACGCCAACGGCTGAGGCTGCTGCTCGGTGACTTGGTGTTGGCCGTCCGCCCTCGTCTCGGGATGGCGGGTCTTCTTCGGAAGATTCGATTCGTTATCGGGTCTGTATCCGCTGCTGTCGTGCTTCTTACTACTTCTGCTACGGTAATTGTTGCAACCGGGACCGCCGCTCTTGTTACCGATGCGTTTACTCCCGGTGATCGTTGCGATGTTGTTGTCGTTAATGATAACCAGAAGGGAAGCCGGTATTCTCGCGGGCGGAATTCTCGTGCTCCCGCCTGGGAGCTGCATCCTTCGAGCTCGCCAAAGGGCTAAGTGCCCCTCGCTCCCTCGTCTCGATTTTCGTGGCCGCAATTCTCCGATACGTCTGTAATAAAAAGATGACGGTTCATCTCAACGATCTGTGCTGCTCTGAACGAATATCGCATGTCTATATATATAATATGAGAATCGATTCAGAGGAACGATAATAGTACACGATAGAGTATTTTAAGCTTTGTATATAGACCGTATTACATTGAAAGAAACGTCGTTTCTGTAGATAGGAAGTAGTCGGCGGTGTGTACACTTGTCGTTCCCTCTTATTATTAGCTTATCTTATTTTAACCGCAAAATCGAATGTACGACAAGAATATCGAAAGTGGGCTATTATAGATCATTAATCTTTGTAGTTGTTATTTGCTTGCAATATGCTACTTCTTATTTGCCAAAGTATTACAAAATAAAAATATGCACATATTCCATTTTATCATGTTTTTTTAAAGTAATATTTTTTTATATTTTATCACTATCGTCTTTTTATTTTTATATTTTTTGGAAGGCATATATAAACATAACAGATTCTTAGAAATCTTAGAAATCTTAAAAAAAAATCTGTAAGAAATATTTTCCACTTTCGAAAATATTACAAATATTATTTGTAATATCTCTTAAAATATCTCTTCAAAATATCTCTTATGAAACAAAACGCATATTTCCATTTTAATGTTCTTTTTTTTTAAGTAATATCTTTTAATATTCTATTGTATTGTTCTATATCTTTTTTTATACACTAATTTTCATATTTTTTGGTCATATATAAACATAAACGATAAGTTTTTAAAAATCAAATTTGTAAAAAATATATTTCATTTCATTCAAAGATCACAGAGATCACGTTATTCGATTGAGAGAAAAATACATTTAATTCTATGCAAGATGACGTCATGTCAGATAGAACGCGAAAAGGGAGTGTAAAGTGTTATCGGTTAAAAATACAATAATCGACCACGAGGGCGACGACGACGACGACGACGACGAAGAAGAAGAGCAGACCGCGGGTGACAGTTGCGAGCAATGTGTTTCACCCTCGTCCGAACACCCTGCGGCCGATAGAAGCAAAAACTCAAAGTATAGTGAGTTACGACGGGGTTAGCGAAGAAGGGGGTGATTCGCCTGAGAAGCGGCCATAAGAAAATTACTTGCGTTGAATATCTTATTCGATACATAAGCAGTTCCGCCTAGAGTACTCTTCGACGGGGGATGCATACCGTCGTCGGTCGATATACGCGGCGAAAGAAAGGGGGGCACAAAAAGTAATTGATAGTCCACTCTCTCATTGTACGCTCGATCATAGACCAGGTCCATCTGGCTTGCTCGAATAGAAAAAAAAATAGCTTCAAACTCCTCTGCGCCTTTATATTTATACAGCCGATTCTTACATCTTTATTTTTTTTTTTTTATAAATTTAGTGTTCGCTAATATGTCGAGTATGTATTATTACAAATTTTATTGTTAATAAAACGACAATATTCCGTTGTATTGACGTCATAATTATGTATACTCGCCACGAAATATTTTAATGAAATCTTTTTCGTTACGTCTCACGCGTGCAAATAAATCGCTCTTCATTCGTCAATGATACGGCCTGTTAGAGGCTTCGATCGTCGTGCAGTTCAATTGACGCTGCGTATAAGTGCGTAAGCGAGACGTTTGTGTAGTTGCACGTATGCATTACGGTATAGAGCTTGAATACGTACTAATACAGTGCGCGAGCACACGCATTTATGCACACGTACGCGAGATTCGAAGCAACAGCTGAGCAGTTTAAAGCACCTGTGCTCAATAAGCCGACAATATTCCATAGTTCGCCTACGCATAAACCCCCTGCACGCGAGGACACCCCGATATTCGTTCCAATACGTATCAAGAAGTCAAAAGAGTTTGCAGGAAACAAATGCGGGAGGTGTCACAACAACTGGTAAAGAAAGTTTAAAATGAAAATTGCATTTCTATGAATAAATGAAATCTTATTCTTTTTATTTCGCCGTATCGAGAACAAATCCTCACGCAAATAAATATCCCACGTAAAAAAATATATGACGTTAAGAAGTAAATGAGTAAGTGAAATGAGTAAAAATGGTAGCCTAGCAAAGATAACAGATCCGTTCTTTTTATTGGCAAAAAATTGCAAATTGCGTAATGGGAGGACAGATTTTTGAAAGATGAGCAAACAACGTGCACGTATTTGAAGTATCATCGACGTCATCTCATTGCGCACTTGAATCATTATTACGTAAACGTTCAATTACGACAAGTTAGCGCGTTCTCGGGTGCTTCCTCGAAGAGAAACGATCCGTTCCGAGAAATTACTAGGTAGTTCCGTTGGCAATTACTTTAGAGGGGGTGCAGCGCTTGCTGCGGCCCTCGTTACTCCAGAAGTGACATATGGTGTCGACCTCGATAAGGTCTATGGGACGACGATTGTACCTGGATAGGAGGGGCGCTTCGAGGGGGGTCGGACGAACTTCTGTCTTTCCCGTTTTTGATCGGTACTTCCCCGCGTGCCGTCATGCGTGGGACGAGAAAGGGGAAAACAAAAAGGTGCCGGTGCCCGGAAATGGCTTCAGGAACTCTCCCACTGTTGCGTCGATTCGGAAGTAGACGCGACGAGTTAATTACACGCGAGAAATGCGTTCACCAAGGCGAGCGCGGAAGGAACGTGCACGGCCTTACCATGACAGCTAATATGCAACGATCGATTTCTAGCAGATATTTCCAAATTCGAATAAATATGTCTTACTTTTTTTTTTTTTTTATTATAATGTACAAAATTTCTTCTATCTTACACAATGAGAGATACACGAAAAATTATGTATCGTCATTATCGCGATGGAATCAATAAAGAAGTAATATGTATTTGAAACATTATGTACATTTATTAGCATCTTTGTTATCACAGAATTAGCGACTATTAAAGTGCAACAAAAACATACATCGCAAATCACCAATGACCATTTCCTGTGCGTCATACGATATTTACCATTTAAGCAGGTGGGTAGATTTCAAAGGATGATTATAGTGCATAGTGATAGGGTCCGCAAGTAATACGTAGGATAGTTAACGCATGGGGAACCCTCGATAGAACTTCAAGGTGAATCAATATTACAACAAGTGATCGCTTTTTTTTTTTAAGTAGATGATGTCCTATGTAAAATCACGGATCACATGACAATTCAAGGACGATATAACTTGTACGAGCAAATTTTGCAAACGCTCGAACTTGCAGTTTCGCTGTATTATCGTGCGCGCCACAATTTTCGTTCCCCCTATGAAATAGCCGAAGAAATTGATGGAAGATAGTTTCCTAGCGTGAGCATCACATGGTGCCCGCGTACCCCACATGGCGTTGTCGAGGTAAAATAGCAGTGGCATGTGCATCGGAATTCCACCCCCTGTAGGTGTCATGTGGTGAGAGTGCTCGCAGGGGGTTGCATGGGAACTCGACTGTGGTCATCAGTCCATGTCCGCCGTGTATACACGCACGCACGACGCTTAGACACATATCGACTTCACCCTTCCGGTATATAAAATTATTGTAACATTCGTTTCGTCATTATGCCTACGACGATGTAGGGGGATAGGCATACTCTTCGTAGCCGTAACACGCATCCGCAACCGCACAAACACGTCCACGTCCGTGGTCTTGCTTAAGCGCAAACGTGTAGACACGCGCACACGCACAAGCGAAATGTACCGCCGGGGTACTCACACGCGTTGGCGGCGCACACGGCGGCCCATCGTGTATGTACACACACGGTTCACACGCGTTCAGCATATTATCGGCCTGCTCTGATGCAACAAGTTGACCGGGTGTCAATTGATGTGTTATTAATTGGAGGTTAATTGCGTTAATGCGCTGCCGACCCCGCCTCTCTGTCGTCTACCCGCTCTCCCACCCCCGACGCCCACCACACCCGCCTTCAACGAGCCCCACTGTTTTATTATTATTTTGCATTCGAATCGTTTCGATTCAACACACACACACACACACACACACACACACACTGGCACGCGACCCAAACCAACCTGGGACGAAAAGAGAGAGAAGAGCGAGAGCCGAGTCCGGTACAAGAAA